GCAAATATGCATGGTTGAAATCATTGAGGACGATATCGAAGAGCCAAGTGGATGAATATGTGTTCAAGTATAAGTGTGTATAAGTATAAAGTCAAAAAGGGGGAGACTGTTAATGTAAGGAAAGAACACAAGAGAAGATTCAACTTCTAGAACATCTCAGACAAAAAGAGAAACATGCCAATATAAAGAAAGGGAATGAACAACCAGCAAAGGAATGATTTGCAAGAGAAAAGTAAATATACCATTGAAAAAAGATGGAAAGAGTAAGCAAAAGGAATGAAGATAAAGAAAAGGAAAAACAAATATGATGAAATAAAATGGAAACCCTATGCAGGAGGCTGAGCATAAATATAGAGGCGTGCACAAGAGAAGAGATCACCCAAGTAGAGAAAGAATGTTTGAGTCGTGAAAGCTTTGACATAAACATATTTGTATGGGAAACATGAGTGAATGATACTTGAGATAGAGTGAAGTGTATTTGAGGGGGAGCCTTCAAATAACAGACGAACCGTTCAAAGGGCGTAGACGAGTCTAGAGTTACACGAGGTGTGTGAAGCACACATAGTGTATGAACTGATAGAATTCATGTTGTAAGAGGAAAACAAACTTAGGGGGAGTTGTGTTCTTGGGATGGATTAAGCTCTAACAAAAAAGAGTTGTAATTCATTTTCTTTACAAAGAGTCGTAATTCATTTATATATATATAGGAATGTTATATCAGCATAAAGTGAGCTGTGATTCGTTTAATTCTTTTACTGTTCTTTATATAATATATAATGATTTGTGTTTTAAAATTTAGGAATGGTTTATGCCTTAAGATTAGTTTAGTGTTTAGGTTTAAAGATTAGGATTGAATCGGCTGGAGTGTAGAATTTAGGATGGGAAGTGAAAAAGAAACATTTTTTTTAAAAGAATTAAATAATTGAATGATTAGTATGATATTTAAGAACAATTTTAGAATATACACATACTACATAGGACTAACTTTTAAAAATTCAGCATTTTTCTTTTAATTAATTACTTTTGACCGTGGAACTAATTTCAAAAATTACGTGGTTGTGACGTATAAAGTGTGTATATATATATAAAATAATATAAAAACAACTAAAAATGTGAAAAATTTTACATTGGAAATGAAAGGGAAAGA